CCATCCATCCATCCATCCATCCATCCATCCATCCATCCATCCATTCTCTGCCATTTGTTGCTTTGATAAGGGGAAGAGAGCTGCACCAATCCGTCTGTCAGTCTCTCTCTCCATTCTTCCCTCACTCGTGAACAAAACCCCAAGATACTTGAACTCCCCTATTCGACGCAGAACTTCACCCCCAACCAGGTGAGAGAGAGAGAGTAATCCACCCTTTTCTGACTGAGGACCATGGACTCAAATTTGGAGGTGCTGAGCCTCATCCCAGCCGCTTCACACTCAGCTGTGAACAGCTCCAGTGAGAGCTGGAGATCCTGGCACGATGACGCCAACAGAATCATATCAACAGCAAACAGCAGAGAAGAAATCCTGAGGCCACCGAACCGGACTCCGTCCGCCCCCTGGCTGCACCCAGAAATTCTGTCCATGTAAGTTATGAACAGAATCAGTGACAACAGGCAGCCTTGGCGGAATCTAACTCCCACTCTGAAGGGGTCAGACTTACTACCGGCAATGCGAACCAAACTCTCGCACCGCTTGTTTAGGGACTGAATGGCCCGTAACAACTGACCCACAATCCCGTACTTGTGTAGCACCCCCCACAGTGTACCTCGAGGAACACGGTCGAATGCCTTCTCCAAGTCCACAAAACACATGTAGACTGGATTAGCAAACTCCCATGACCCCTCGAGGACCTTAGTGAGGGTAAAGAGTTGGCCCAAGTGTTCCACTGCCAGGACGGAAACCAGGAGGAACCTGCATTGTTCCTCCAGACTCTGAGGTTCGACCATCGATCAAACTCTCTGCTCCAGTACCCCTGAAAAGACCTTATCGGGGAGGCTAAGGAGAGTGATGCTCCTGTATTTGGAGCACACCCTCTGGTCCCCCTTTTTGAAGAGGGGAACCACCACCTGATGTCCTCACGACGTTGCAAAGGCATGTCAACCAGGACAGCCCACAACATTAAGAGCCTTGAGGAAATCATGGCGGATCTCATCCCCTGACAGCATAGCTCCTAGGATCATTCAGGTGCACAAAGTCCTCCTCCATGATAAGGTGATGATTCAATGGAGGAGTTCTGTTGTTGACATCTTTTAATTATTTTGCAAATTTCTGCACCGCTATATAACTGTAAACCCCTCTATCAGATTGAAATACTCTGGAAGCTGGAGGGGTGCAGGGTGTGAAGCAGCTCGTTTGGATTTAAAGAGACAGCGTCAAAAYGAGTTGCTCTGAGRCRCACATCAGAAAAGGGGTGAAAGAGGTGAAAGGGGTGAGGAATTCAGACCAAAGYATTACAGTTCCACTTTATATAGAACCMAGTTGAATAATTTAAATTCAAATAAGAAGGATTTAAAAGCATCATATGTCCCTTTTAAACACAAGAAAAGTGAACAGAAAGGGAAACTGAAAGAGAGAATGAAGCACCGAACAATGTGATTGTTGCTGGCAGAGGCTGAATATGGATTATGATTTGGTTTGTTTCACCATTAAAATATCACAACTCACTGCAAAWACTTTGCCAAGAGCAAAGTACAATGTGATGTGTGTGTCAATGTGTGTGCGTGGGAGAGTTACTACAAATTATAAGAACTGAGACGAAACTCCTAGAAGGCTTCCTTCACATTTATACTTTCCTCTTTCTGTGTGTGTGTGTGGTGGTAGTGGTGGTGGTGGTGGGGGGTTGTCATCAAATGAACTATTCATATGTAGAAAATGTAAACAGATCTATTCAGCTATTCAGAGTAAATATTAAGAAGATAGTTTAGATATTTTGAAATTGGTTTCTTTTTGGAAAGGTTATAAACATGTAATATTTGTKGTAATTAGTGCCTTCAACATTCTTAGTTTGGACAAATAGATAGGGCTTGTCCACAAAAATATGCAGTTTTCAAAAACTATCTACTTTGCTATCACTTTTAAAAATACCTTGCAAGCATGGCATCATTTATTCTAATGTTCTTCACAACACAAAAACACCAAAACAACTGCTGTAGTAACTATGCCAGGCCTTTATGTGGTGCTGTAACGCTGCCCCACCAAAAACAGGAAACAAGGAGCTTGCACATAAAGCTGGCATGTTGGGTACAAAAATGTAGACAAACAACAACAACAACAAAAAGAAAAATAAACCATCTTATCATAGGATAGATTAGAGATGGGACTTTGACATATCACTTTCTAAAGGTTGTGTTTTGGCCGACAACACAAAAACTTTCAAAATACTTTCAAAAGCTTCAGAAACAATGTTTCCATATAGATGCAATGCTCAAGTAATAAAAAAAAAAATACTTTTGCAATCCTGTTTGTCTAGTTCTAGCTGTAGTTCAGCTTTGAATTTCTTCAGATAAATTTAGAGCCAAACAACAAAAAATAATTCAAACACGAGTGGTTTTAGCCTTTAAGTTTTTAAACTACAAGCATTTTAAGTTCAGATCATATTATTTGTGAACCTTGGCAAAAGTACATCTACTCCAGGTCTAAAACTAGATTTAGACATCTAGAAAACTTTCACTGACATCAAATCAGAGCCTATATGTCTACAGACTGCATGTTAAATTAGCATGTTGTTTTATCATAAAAAACTCTGCAACATATGGTTTGGTGTTGCTTGAGCTAACACTGTGAGGAAATTGAAGTTGCTCCCTTCTGGCACAAAGTAGCATGGACAGTCTAGTCTCAGTAACAGACTCTCACACACCCACACACACACCCCAGCTCCACTCTAAGACCATATCCTTATGTCATGCATGTAAACACACAGGATTATTCATATCACTTTTCCCAAAGTGGCTTATGGCAGGAAACTCGGGCTAATCTCAGTCTCGGAGCACATCTATCTGCACTGGAGACCAGTTTGTGTTACATTAGCTCTGCCAAGCTGCTCCAAACTCCAGGAATGGTGGACTTTGGTGATGGGGGGCACAGACAGAAATGACAGCACTGCTGCTGCCTTTTGGATAACACATTTTTGTGGTGAGCAAACGCGGTTCAGTGGCAGATCACCTTACACTGCCGACAAAGGATCACAAGCCTCGAGCGGACAATCACATGCCAGTGGGGAATGTGTGGAATGTTACTTTCCCGCCAGAAGGGGGTGAAGCAGATGAGAGAAGGCAAAATAGGTCAGAAAATGTCAGAAAATGTGGGCATCAGTTTCCCATGCAGAAAAAAAAGCTGTTTTATCTTGGGAAATGCAATACRAATGCTGCTTTTGCAACAAACAAACAGTCTTTTCACCATTTTGAACATTCAAAAACATTCAGCTAGATCAGAGACACCATGAAGGTTGCCTCAGGCAAAGTTCTCCGTGCAGATAAATACCTTTAGGTTGGAATGGAAAACACTGCCTCTTCTTTCCTAACAACCCATTCTTTTCCTCTTTCTGTTGCTCCTTCGGTGTCATTTTTGGGAAACACCTTGAAACTAACACGTAAAAACAACAAACTGTCCCCTTATCAAAGGAAATCTGCCTGCCTATGTCGCAGTGATAATAAAGCCAAAGGAAGTCAGTTTGTGGGAGCAGAGCGAGGCTCGCTGTTTCCAGGTTTTGTGCTATGCTGAATCAACAAAACCCAAAGAAAGGGGTGTGAAAGTTTTCTTCTAAAGACAGAATATTATGGAACATTAAAGATCTACTGTGCCTTTCAGCTGCAYCATCAATAGTTCTTCTCACAACCTATTTGATCTTGTGTCATCGTCGTTAATTTGCGTACGGCAGCTGTGGGGGAGCTGGAGTTTATGAGGTCAGGATCCAAAGTTCATACAAGGATTACCGGATTTATTYGAAACTAATGTGATTACTGCAGGGGACAATTTCAGAGTGTGCAAAAATAACACTGCCGGCCTTCATAGTACCCAAGCTTTGTCGGGTTTCCTCMAGTCTTTAACCAGTAGGTAATAATCTTAATAAATACCTGAGCGTCTTCTCCATGGTCTGCTGCAGGCGTGGGTTCTCCAGGCAGCGGCTCGTCGTTGTGCACCGGGGAGTCCTGCGACGGCGTGTCRGGGGGGTTGATGACCACAGATCTCTCTGAGCGGCTGCTGTCTTTGCTGCTGCTGGCTTTGTGCCGGTCGCGGCTTCGATCGCTGGATAACAAGAAAACAAACATCATCATTTATGTCAAAATTATGCAGAGATTGTCTGATTTTCTAGACATGATTTTGACAATTAAACAAACAAAAATACGGAAAAATGTGTAAAAGTTCAGAGTTCTTCCAAAAAAGAAAGATGAAAGGGTTGTTTTAATTATTTGCAGAGAAAATAGTAAAAATTTGAACCATTAAACCAGGGTTTCTCAAACCTTTTGGGTCTGGGGACCCCTTACAATGGTGATAAAAATTCCAGGGACCCCCTCTTAAACCCCAAAAGATAATTTATTGATGTTTCAACCCCTAAATGCCATGGGAATATATATATTTTTATTAAGTTTATTATGTTTGTTTTATTAGTTCATTGTTCTCCGTGCATTTTTAAAAATAAAAAAACAAATTAACAATTAAGTGAAATTTTTTGAGGACCCCTAAAATACCTCTCACGGACGCCTGAGGGTCCTGGGACCCCAGTTTGAGAACCTCTGCATTAAACAACATCAGAATCATCAAAATGAAATGTTCTACTAAAGTCTAGCTTTTTAAATATGCAAATGCAGGACATTCTGATTATTTCTGTTTTTATTGTGTAAGTTTTTGGATGTAACCCAAAAACTAAGAACAAAAAAAAAAAAAACGATTTCGAAAAAATTGATAAACATAAAAACAAAAAGGATTAGGACCCTACAACCTATGTAACAGAAAATGTAATGATTTTAATGTAATTTTTGGGGAAAAAACAGGAAATTAAAATACAGTATATCACCTCAGTCAGACGATCTTGTGCTGAAAGRGATTATTTTTTCCTGTCGTCTAACAAATAAACCGATTTGTTAAAAATGAAAAATTGTAAACACAAAGCAGTATTAGGATTATATAACCACACAAGCATTTGCAATAAAAAATAATAAGAAACTGAYGTACAGAGGACAACTGCAGGCCTCACGATGATCACGTTGAGGATAAAATGAATCTGTCATTTCTAACGGCGGCTGAGTCGATCCATGAAATAGGTTAGAACCACTCAGCTGTGACGACCCTAATCCACAATCTCTGCCCCTCAATCTCTCTTTCACTCTCATCTCATTCACCGGACCACAACAAATATTCACTCAACGGTAAAAAAAAATTAATTAATAAAAATACCTTGGCAAGGGCTGGGGTATTAGACTCTGTTACTGAACAAATTGAACAGTGTTTACAGTAAATAAAGACGTCAGAGGATGGAGATGGGAAACATACCCATGTCGGTTTGATCTCCCAGAGCGACTGGAGTAGCCAGAGTGGGTCGACTCCGTGTCCATTCCAGCTCAGATTTGGTGATTTGGGCAGGGCTGACGACGATGAGGAGGGGGCTCGTCGTGTGGCAGAGGGAGGAAGTTGGCAGCGGCGCTCAAGAGGAGGAGTGGGTTGCTGTGGCGACAGACCTCAGGAATCCACAGTGATTGACAGCAATCCCAGAGAGCTGCTTCGAACGCCACATGAGCCTGAGAGACAAACAGAGTGCAGTCTGACGGGTGGAACCAAAGCACCGTTTAACACTGATGCACAGGTGCATTATTACCTCCACCAAGGAGGTAATGTTTTCGGTCGCATATGTTGGTCTGTCTGTCAGTCTGTCGGTCGGCTGTCTGTGGACAACATTACTCAAAAACCTGTAGACGGATTGTCATGACATTTACACCACATGTGAGTACTGGCCCAAGTAACACACCATTAAATTTTGGTGATGTTCCGGATCACGATGCGGATACAGGATTTTTTCCCTATTAATCCTCTCAGATCAGCAAAGCTGTGATGCTTTCACAGGGCTTCTGTAAAAAACAGTGAGAGCGCTCAGTGTTCATTTGAACTGGGTTACGTAGCACGGACTTCAAACTTTACAAAAGTAATGTTAAAACCAGATGTAATGATGAATAAGTCTTGCCATAACGTGCGCATTTTTACGCATTTGGTGCGCATTTAGAGAACGTCTTCTGACCAGGAAGTGCGTGACTACACTATGAAACCTATTTTTCCCATTTCCTCAAACACACCACGTAGGCTTGTAAGCAGATCGATGAAGACCGAGGAAGAGGAGTGATGTGCACAGGTGAGGTGGACTTCAGACTTGGAGGTTGTTTGTTTGTTTGTTTGTTCATTTTTATTATTTAAATGAGACCAGGGGCGAGGTCATTTTTCGGTCGCGCTGACCCACTCGCTTCCAGAGCAACGGTACCAGGAAGCACTTAATAAAGAGAGTCAAACCATTACAAACTCATACAAGGGGATAAAACAGACGTTTTACATGGTGAAATGTGACTGATGAAAACTTAAGAGCTTAATCTGACACCAGTTTGACGATGAATAACGTCGGGTGACGAGTCTTACTTTTCTTTTTTTCCATATTGGACTCCACCGGGAAGAAATCCCGTGCATACTGCCTGCTTAAATGTTCGCTACGTCAGAACTTATTCGGCAAATGTGTTTCTATCTCTGCTTTTGTGCATTTACTCTATTACAGGATGGGAGAAACTGGACTTGGCGGAGGTTTGCTCTCTCCGAGTGCTTCTAGTCTTATCTGTTTCTGCTGCTCCTGTTCAGCTCTGTGCGATGCCTTTCATGTCTCTTGACTACAGGATGTATTTTGGGTGATGATGTTTAATGGTTGTGTGAAAGCAGCTGTTGATAGCCTATAGCACAATGTCCAAAACAAAATTTCCAGGGATACAATAAAGGGAAGCACTTAATGCAAAGGGTACAACAAAACAAGYGTCAACAAAGTGTTGTTTACTGTCTTTGCCTGTGTTTAGTTTTCTGTTTCAGAGTTCACTTTCACGTTTATTTAGGTGCACTTTGGGGTCAGAGGTTTGGGTTTCATGTCACATGTCAGAAATATTAACTGAAACGCCCCCTAATGTCGTAAGTTTGAGTTGGGAAGTCGGAGCAACATGACTTTACTCGACGTTATTATTTCAACATGGCTGCTCCTCACATTAAAAGTGAGTGAAGCTTATTTTTATGTTTTTAGTGGGTAATAATCTTAATAAATACCTGAGTGTCTTTGTTGTTTACATTATATTAAGTCAGTCGTACTTGTAGTCCCTTATAGCCATTATTAAGTGAGGCTAATGTCAGAGCAAGAAATAGAAAATATTTTTTCTGATGTCCTGAAAAGCTGGAAACTGGACCKTTGTCTACTTTGACTTCACAGTTCTGAGTCGTGCTGCAACTGGAACGCAGCATTAGTTCTGCTTCTAAGCTCCTGTCACACCATCTCATTTAGCTCAGCTGTTTGTCACCGCCTCCTCAGCCTCTACGTTTTATTCCCTCTGCCTCCATTCACTCACGACTGGGCCCTTGTGTGTTCTTGCACCATGTCTGTTTCCTTTCCATGTCTCCTCTGAGTTTTTTTTAATGGACAGGTATGCTTTATTTTGAACAAATAAAATAAAATAAATAAATAAATACAAGAATGGATTTAGGGTCAGTATATCTTTTGGTCATTGGATTTTCATTTTCGAAACGTGCATTAAAAAAATAAGAAACGAGCGGTTATTTGATTTTTGTTTTAAAACACTGAAATAAAAATTTAAATACAACACGTTTCTCATTCTTAGTGTCAAAAAGGGATAAACAAAATTTTAAAAAATGATTTGAATTTCATTTTCTGTTTCAGACAGCAAAAAAGAAAATTACTTTAGGACAGAAACGGAAAAAGGCTTGTTTATTTGTATTTTACGACTATCTATTCCCCCACCAGAGGGGGCGCTCGCCTGGCAGCTCTGCATAATGAAACACTTATTTCTGTAAATAAAAGGCTGAAACACAGAGAAATATGTCCATAAATGAGTTGTATGATGACTGTCGCTCTGTGACCAAAGGCTTTGCAGAAGTAATTCATGTGGCTTTAACCAAATAAATCTATTTTACTGAATACACGTCGGCTACTGCCTCCACTTCACCTCCATTTCCCCCAATAAAAAGCAAAATATGACAAATTACTGTAACCCTAAAATAATCTGTTTCACCACCAGAAGGGGTGTCTGCAATATCAAAGTTATTCGATAAACATCCTATTACAAGTAAAAAGCATTGATGTTGACTTCGGTATCAAATATATTTGCCAAGTATTTATTTGGTATCAGATCRATATCAAAGTCGTAGTACCGCCCACCCCTCGCTGAAAGGAAAACTCTGAGGACTCAAACTCACAGAAAAAAGCACAGATTTTGTCAAAAGTCAGGAGGGAAAAAACTTTCTGCTCACAGAACAACAACTGTACAACACACTAATATAATGAAAGTTGTCATATTTTGCTTTTTATTGGGAGAAATGGAGGTGAAGTGGAGGCAGTAGCTGACATGTATTCAGTAAAAGAGATTTGTTTGGCCAAAAACCACATGAATTGCTTCTGCAAAGCCTTTGGTCACAGAGCGACAGTCATCATACAACTCATTTATGGACACTTCTCTGTGTTTCAGCCTTTTATTTACAGAAATTAGTGTTTTATTATGCAGAGCTGCCAGGTGAGCGCCCCTTCTGGTCGGGGAATAGATAGTCGTAAAAGAACAATCAAGCCTTTTTTCGTTTCTGTTTTAAAGTAATTTTCTGCTATCTGAAATAGAAAATGAAACTCAATTCATTAAAAAAATTGTTATCCCCTTTTGATACTAAGAATGAGAAACGCTTTGTATTTTAATTTTAATTTCAGTGTTTTAAAACAAAAATCAAATAACCGCTCGTTTCTTGTTTTTTAATACCCGTTTTGAAAATTAAAATCGAATGACCAAAAGATACACTGACCATTTAGATTTGTACATAAATACATAAATATATATATGTATAAGCACATACACAAGAATACAAAAACAAAACATTTTGCAACATAAGTCATTTTAGCTACTTATTTGAAAATGAGTGAGTTTACACTTTTTGTAATTCCACCCATTTATGCTATTTATATTTATTTAATATACCTTTACATCAAAATACATTAT